CACAAACAATGAATCATGGAACACTTCATCTAGAACTAATGATGTAATGTATGGGGATTAACATAAGAATAAAAAAAAAAACCCACAAAACAAACAAACAAAAAAAATTGACAACTTTATTAAACAATTACTTCAGTTAGAAACTACGTTAAAGCTCTACCTACACTTCACATCATCTTCAGAACAATCCCAGAGGTAGGTACTATTAATTATTACCCAAATTTTACAGATGCAGAAACTGAGACCTGAAGGGTATATTAGGGGGTCAAGGCCTCCTACAAGTTTGATCTGTTACATGGAGTCACAGACTCAACATACGGTTGTAGCACAAGTGACACTTATTAAAGCAAAAGTATACACAGGAGGTTCAGCATAGGAAAAATACGCAGGCAAAGTCTAGAGAAACCCGTATGTAAGCCTCCTGGTTCTCTTCTGTGAGGGAATAAACTGAGCATATTTATTACTTTTCTTCAACAATTAAAAAAAAAAAAGGCAGTAATATGGGTGCAGTGTTTCTGTCCAGGGAAACCTATTGAAGACATCACTCAAGGTTTTTATTGGGAGCTGGTCATGTAGGCACCCTCTGTCTAGCAACTGCCAAAATTCTAGAAGGAAAGCAAGTTGTTTGCTATAAATCACATATCACAAACAGTCTAGGCACACTGAACCACCCTTATCAGTTAGGGAACAGAGGAACGACACACTGAAGGCCAAGTTCCCAGATATCAGTCAGAGGTTAACCTAGCAAGTGGGCCTTTCTAAAGATAAGAACCTCAAGTCGGCTATGTTAACTCTTCTTTGCACAAAGGGTTAAGAAGCCACTCAAGGTTTACATTGAAAAGCTGCATGGCCAAACTTCAACCCCAGGCAGTTAGATGTTTTGAGCACAAGTTCTTTTTTTTTTTCCTTCCATTTCCCTCTCACCCCACCTCCCCTCTGGTAACCATCTGTTTGTTCTCTATAGTTAAGAGTGTTTATTTGTCTCTGTTTTTCCTTTATTCATTTGTTTTGTCTCTTAAATTCTATATATGAATGATATCACATGGTATTTGTCTTTCTCTGACTGGCTTATTTTACCTATCATTGTACTTTTCTAGATCCATCTATGTTGTTGCAAATGGCAAGATGTCATTCTTTTTTACAGTGGAATAATATTCCATATGTATGGTATCTGTGTGTGTGTGTGTGTGTGTATCCCACCTCTTTTTTATCCATTCATTTATTGATAGACACTTGGGCTGCTTCCATAATTTAGCTATTGTAAATAATGCTACAATAAACAAAAGGGTGCATATATCCCTTCCCTTCGATTTAGTGTTTTCATATTCTTCAGTTAAATACCCAATAGTGGAATTACTGGATCATAGGATAGTTCTATTTATAAATTTTTTGAGGAACTTCCATACTGTCTGCCACAGTAGCTGTACCACTTCTCATTCTCACCAACAGTGTACCAGGGTTCCATTTTCTCCAGTTCCTCACCAAGACTTGTTGTTACTTGAGTCTTTGATTTTAGCCATTCTGACAGGTATGAAGTGGTATCTCATTGTGGTTTTGGTTTGTATTTCCCTGGTGATGACTAATGTTGATCATCTTTTCATGTGTCTGTTGGCCATCTGGATATCTTCTTTGGAGAAATGTCTGTTCATGTCTTCTGCCCATGTTTTAATTGGATTGTTTGGTTTTGGGGTATTGAGTTGTATAAGTTCTTTATATATTTTGGATACTAACCCTTTATCAGATATGTCATTTGCAAACATCTTCTCCCATTCAGCATGTTGTCTTTTTTTAATTTTTATTTTTTTTAAAGATTTTATTTATTCATTCGAGACACAGAGATACAGAGAGAGAGAGAGCACGAGCAGGGGGAGAGGCAGAGGGAGAAGCAGGCTGAGCCAGGAACCGGACGTGGGACTCGATCCCAGAGTCCTGGGATCGTGACCCGAGCTGAAGGCAGACGCTTAACCGTCTGAGCCACCCAGGCAACCCAGCATGTTGTCTTTTAATTTTATTGGCTGCTTCCTTTGCTATGAAGAAGCTTTTTATTTTGATATAGTCCCAACAGTTTATTTTTGCTTTGTTTCCCCTGCCTCAGGAGACAGATCTAAAAGGATCCTTTTAGCTGATGTCAGAGAAATTACTGCCTGTGCTCTCTTGTAGGATTTTTAGGTTTTCAGTTCTCACATTTAGGTCCTTAATCCATTTTAAGTTTATTTTTGTGTATGGTGTAAGAAAGTGGTCCATTTTTCATTCTTTTGCATGTAGCTGTCCAGTTTTCCCAACGCCATCTGTTGAAGAGACTTTCACCCATTGCATATTCTTGCCTCTTTTGTCAAAGATTAATTGACCATGTAATTGTGGGTTTATTTCTGGGCTTTCTATTCTGTTCTGTTGATCTATGTGTCTATTTTTGTGCCAGTACCATACTGTTTTGATTACTACAGCTTTGTAATATAAAAGATCTGAAATTATGATACCTCTAGTTCTGTTTTTCTTCTTCAAGATTGTTTTGGCTATTTGAGGTCTGTTGTGGTGCCATACAAATCTTAGAATTGTTTTTTCTTGTTCTGTGAAAAATGCTGTTGGTATTTTGATAGGGATTGCATTAAATGCACACATTGCTTCAGGTAGTACATTTTAACAATATCTGTTCTTTCAATCCATGAGCATGGAGTGTCTTTCCATTTCTTTGTGTCATCTTCAATTTCTTTCATCAGTGTTTTATAGCTTCCAGAGTACAGGTCTTTTATCTCTTTTATTCCTAGGTATTTTATTTTATATTTTATATTTACTGTTTATGTCACTTGTAAGTGGGATTATTTTCCTAATTTGCTGTTTCATTATTAGTGTATAGGAATGCAACAGATTTTTGTATATTGATTTTGTCTCCTGTAACTTTACTGAATTCACTTATCAGTTCTAGGAGGCCAATATCTCTCATGAACATAGATGCAAAAATCCTCAAAAAATATTAGCAAACTGAATCCAAGAATACTTTAGAAAAATCATGCACCACAATCAAGTGTGATTTATTCCTGGGATGCAAGGGTGGTTCAATATTCACAAATCAATCAATGTGATATGTCACATCAATAAGAGAAAGGATGAGAATCATATGATCGTTTCAATAGATGCCCAAAAAGCATTTGACCAAGTACAACATTCATTCATGATAAAAACCCTCAACAATGTAGTTTTAGAAGGAACATACCTCAACATAATAAAGACCATATGCAAAAAGCCCACAGCTCACCTACTCAGTGGGGAAAAACTGAGAGCCTTTTCCCTAAGGTCAGGAGTAAGACAAGGATGTCCACTCTCACCACCCTCATTCAACATAATATGGGAAGTCCTAGCCACGGCAGTTATACAACAAAAGGAAATAAAATAGGCATCTGAATTGGTAAGGAGGAAGTAAAACTTTCACTGTTTGCAGATGACATACTATATATTTAAAACCCTAAGGACTCTAGTAAGCCTGAGCTTTTAACCACTGCCTGTGACTGTTCCCTAAACGAAAGAACAGAATAACCACTTGCTTCGTGAAGGAATCAGAGTAATACTTTTCTGCAAATCTAAACTCCATACTGATTACTGTGACATGTTAAACTGGGAAAGACAAAAAAACACACTGTAGCAAATATCCTCTGTCAAGCCCTTCTCTGTGTTAGCTCTCGTGTCAGGTATACCAGGTTTTCTGTGTAAATTACATACTTTTTTTACACAGGAAAAAAGAAAAATCATATTTAAAAAACAACCAAAATAAACTATTAAGATGTGATAAGAACTAATCCGTGTATTTAAAGTGTAAAAAATTTCAAAGACACACATGGCATGGTCCTAGAAACTGTTTGCCTTTTCTTATATTAAAGGACAGCGACGAGATTGGAGAGCAAGACGGGTCTTAAAAACAAATGTTCAAACCATGTATGAGGAAGAATATGCAGCGCTGCTCTGAATAACAAAAAAAACTGGAAATAATCAAGTGTTCATTTATGGTTAAATAAATTCTAGAATTTCCATAATCTGGAATATAATATAACCATAAACTAACAAATTTTTAATTTAATTAATTCCTGCTTCCCTATTATATGCCAGGCACTGGTTAAGGAATTGAGCATCTGTATGTACTAACATGGAGGAATTCCCACCTGATAGCACTGTTTACTTCCAAGGAAAGGAAAACAATGTGAGGGAAGAAGGGTGATAAAAGGAGACATTCATTTTTTACTGCATATACTTTTTATAAAGATTGAAATTTTTAGAACAGTAATATATTCATGAATTGTAGAACTCATTTAAAATTGGTTCTGTACCTGAATGCTTCCCTCTGTATCAAGAACTTCAGCAACAGGAACTGACTGGATAAACTGCATGAAGCCTACACAGAAATATATGCATTGCATTAAGCACAATTATTGGTTAAGCAATAAAAATAATGGTTCTAAGAATAACCTTCATTTCAAATGCATATACTACATACCTGAACAACTTAAATAGGTCTGTAAACAATATATTTAGCCTGGCATTTAATCCACAGGAACTGTAAGAAAACTTTTCTTTCTTTTTTTTTTTTTTAAAGATTTTATTTATTTATTTGACAGAGACAGAGACAGCGAGAGCAGGAACACAAGCAGGGGGAGTGGGAGAGGGAGAAGCAGGCCTCCCGCCGAGCAGGGAGCCCGATGTGGGACTCAATCCCAGGACCCTGGGATCATGACCTGAGCCGAAGGCAGTCGCTTAACCAACTGAGCCACCCAGGTGCCCGAAAACTTTTCTTTCAATTAAGCTGATTTATCTGTATGCTTCTCCAGGCCAGTTTCTATTACTGTATACAAGGAAGAGAAAGTAATAGCTAAGCTTTCTAAACTGGGCACAAAAATTTCTTCTTTCTGTATTTTTATAACATATACCAATTAAAAATGTTCCAAATTTCAAATCACTTTAAGAAATCTGAAATTATGTATTATCAATCACCTAAGCCTAAAACTGTATTATATTCACTGGCTTTTTTTGTCTAATACTCCATCTTCTGACATTTCCTGGAAATGATAGGAGAAGAAAGTATAAATCCCTTAAACTACCAAAAAGAGGGGGAAGAGGACATCATTATATGGCAGGACAAGAAGGAGAAAAGATAAGTCTAATTAAGTCTAGAGACCACAACAGTAGTATAAAACAACAAATCTATGAAAATATCAAAGTTGAATGAAGGAAACTACTGCATTCTCCTTTAGAGTAAAAAATGTCTCATTCATTGCTGGATCACAAACAGGGAATAGTTTGCATCCATTCACTTAAAATATATTTATTGTCTCTCTCCCATGTAGTAAGAACTTTTCCATGTAAAAAATAGAGCTTTGACCCTGTCTTTAAAGACTGTACAAGCCTGCAAGTCTTACTGGGATAAATACTACGAAGAAAAGGGTACCATGAAAGAGAAAAGTGTAGGGAGACCTAAATCACCAGAGATCAGAGGGCATCGGACATTTGAGCCGTGTTTTGAAGGATAATAAAAGTTAATAGGTAAAGCTGTGGAGGAATGGATGCTAAAGATAAGGACCAAAGCATACATGAAGGCCGTAAGGCTGAAAAAAGCATGGTGCGTTTGAGAAAATGGAAGGTGGCTCATGTGGCTAACTCCTGGGAAGCAAGAGGGAGACTGGCAAAAGAGAGGCTTGAGAAACAGGCCCAGGAGTGTGTCACAACATGCCAGAACTTGTACACCAAGCTAAGGCTTCTGTCTTTGTCTGAGGAGCAAACAGAAGTGAGTAAATCAATTTATGCAGGATAGTCAAAGAGCACAAGTGCACTTTTAACAAGATCATTCTGAGAGAAAAATGAGAAGAGGAATTATACCACCAAAAGGTTTTGAGGGTGGCCAGGGGAAGAGCAGGAAACCTAAAACAGATACTTTTGTTGTTCCCAGGTATCTACGAGTGAGAAGCTCCGAGAGTAAGACTAGGGAATTTACAATAGGTTTTAGGCAAGCATTCCTAGGGAATCATCTATCAAATTTCCAGAGGTTATTCCATCTTAGAAAGACTTAGATGCCATAAATCTATATTAAAAAAATTAGTTAGGGGCACCTGGGTGGCTCAGTAGGTTAAGCGGCTGCCTTAGGCTCAGGTCATGATCTCAGGGTCCTGGGATAGAGGCCCACATCTGGCTCCCTGCTCAGCGGGGAGCCTGCTTCTCCCTCTCCCTCTGCCTCCCTCTCTGCCTACGTGTGCTCTCTCTCTCTATCTCTCTGTGAAATAAATAAATAAAATCTTTAAAAAAAGATCAGTTAATAAGGCAACATCATTTGCTGAGTGGCTTTTTTCAGCAGAGCACAATACAAAGCCACTCTGCGTCATAGTAACTCTCAAATGATGATTCAGGACACAAATTACTGTGTAAGAAACTACTGTGAACTGTAACCAGCTTTGAATGCAAATAAATACAGTATAAAGGTGTTAATTTTTCCTTACAGATACACTGTTTAATGTTTTCAAGAGAAAGCTGAGAGAGAAAAGGAGAGAGACACAGTCTTCAGTGCTACAAATGAGTTCAATCTCTAACGTTCTTAACTTTCAATTAAAAGAGGAAAAGTAGACTCATTGGACACTGAAATAAACAACTACAGTGTAACATAAACTTACCATGTTTTGTACTGGTGGCTAATACCTTGTAGGGTGTCAACTTCAAATCCAGATTTTCTTTCCGTAGCAGCTTTTGATCAAAAGATAAAATATGTTAAACAAATATAAAGATTATTCTGAAAAAGTTTTGTAGGCAAGTATTATAATAGCTTAATGTAAGAGATTTAGGCGATAAATCTAAATTAAAGGTTTAACTAAATTAATTAATTTCACTTTGATCATCAAATTTATTAAGCACTTACTTGATGGTATGCCAATTTTTTTTTTTATCTTATTCTAAATCACTGTCAATAGTTTTCAATGAACAGTAGGGTTCCTCCAACTCATTTATGCCGTTCTCTCTAGTCACGAAGTGTTTTAGAACTCAGAAAAAGGGAAATAAGGGCAAATATGTTCCTTTTAAAGCCAGGGGCAGGGATGCAATTTAAAGAAAAAGATCTAGGGGCGCCTGGGTGGCTCAGTTGGTTGAGCGACTGCCTTCGGCTCAGGTCATGATCCTGGAGTCCCGGGATCGAGTCCCGCATCGGGCTCCCCCTGCTCGGCGGGGAGTCTGCTTCTCCCTCTGACCCTCCTCCCTCTCATGCTCTCTGTCTCTCATTCTCTCTGTCTCAAATAAATAAATAAAATCTTTAAAAAAAAGAAAAAAGAAAAAGATCTAGCTGACTAAGAGGAAGGGAATTATTAAACCTGACATCGAGAGAACTTAACTGAGAAAAAAGTTTTAATAAAAAGAAATGCATGCAATTTCATTTTATACTCATCACAAGAGTCACTCTGCAATGTACAAAAATAACTACACTTGTTCAAGGTCAAGTAGAGACTGCTGAGCTTCCTTTGTACCTGAATGTTAAAAATACTTCTGTGTCTATACACAGCATACACACTAAACTGTAGTTTTCCAAAATTAATAAATGTTCCCTGCCAACATAAGGTTATAGTCACCTTGTCCATGAGTGAAATGATTTGAAGAATAAGTTGATCTTGCCGTAAATCATCCCCATGCTTAAATATAACTGGGTATTTGCCCCCATCTTCTGTCTTAAAGAATAACTGTGCAGGCATAAGAGCACTCTGGAAATAAAAATATTGTTTTCAAATTTGGATGTAAATTAATGCACGGAGATTTACTATACATAGGAGGAAACACTGACCTGTAAGGTAAACAAGGAAGTTATCAGAAACTAAAGAAACAAGATGGGCTGGCAGCAAGATGTAATTAGATACCTTGGAGACAACAACAAGCTAGCTAATAGTCAGAAGATTACATGGCATAAAGAACAAGAGCTCCAGAGTCAGTGACAGGAATCTAGGCTCCACCAGGTACTAGCTAGGGGATCTCACACATGTTCTTTAACCTGTCTCCTCACTTGTAAAATAAAGATAACTTTTCCTCTGCAGAGTTGCTAAAACATATGACAGAGCAAATACAGTAAAATGTTAAGAAGAGTCAAACAGTAGGTATCTAGTTGTTCACTGTATAATTCTTTAATCTTTGCTGTATGCTTGAAAACTTTCCTGTAAAATGATGGGGTAAAAGGCATCAAAAATGCTTCAGTGAATATATGTTTAGAACTTATAACCTCTTTTGGATTAAAACTCTGAATTTTAAATTATCTTAAATTTGGAGTATCTTTTTATCACCCCAAGCAAAAACATATTTTGTAAATTACCTCAACGGCATTTGTTACCCCAAAATGATTAAGAATTACTATGACAGAGTTATGTAGTAAAGGCCCTAGAACCATTAATCCTAAACTCCAACCCCAAATTTTTAAGAATGCTCACATACTTTAAGAGTTGTAAGAAAAACAAACAAAAAGACTGGATATCAGGATCAAAAACATGTCTCATAATATTTTATTGACCATCTACTTTGTGCATTTAAGACATAATTAAAATATTGCACACTTAAGGAGAAAATAGGTCAGAATTCACCTAACAATAGTGGCAGATATACACTCCTCTACCCCACTCTTACAACTCCTGCTCTGTCTTAAATATTTTTTCCCATCCTGTTTCAAAAAAATGGTAAAACTACCTTTTTGATTTACTGCTCTCGATTAGTCCTCAGGGAATGAGAATATTAGAAGCTGGTCTTGTTTGAGAGTTCCAGCCCAAAGGAACACCACTTGTACACATGTACACCAGTTGTTACATGTCTGTGTGTAGCTTTTAACATCTCAGCTTCCAGTGGGTTGTAAACACAAGCTAAGCAATAGTTGCATTTTATCTCCTGTTCTAGTATTTTTCAAATTGCAGGTTATAATCCATTAATGAGTTTTAAAACGAATTAAACAAGTTGCATGTTACATTTAAAATGTAATGCAACAGAGTAATTCTTAATAGAAACTATCAGAGTCCATAACATGCAAAAAGGTTCAGTACTACTTTAAAAACTTACATTTCAATTGTGTGAGCTGGGCTGCCATAAGTTGCCTTTAAACACACCCTTGAAAAAAAATCCAAACTACTTACTATAATCACACCCTTTTTATATTCATAAGTAGTTGTCCTATGAGCCCTTTCTTTTCTGGATACAAAGTAGTTTTCCAGTACAACTTACGCCCTTCCACCCCTAGAATCACAAAATGTAAAACACCATGTCTCACAGAGACCTTTCTTTATGATGCCCAACAGGTCATGATGCTTCACAGGTAATGATGCCCAGTCCTTTGGCCCAACTGGAGAAAGTGGCTACCATCAGCTCTAACTATCCAAGTCGTGGCCAGCCAAAAGAAGCCTGGCATGCTATCAAGGACTAAAGAGAATTACTACTTGAAAACACAAGAAAAAAATTCAAGTCACAGAAACAAATAACAGAGCAAGAAATGTTAAAAAGGTTAACTGAGACTATAACCACATGAACTTATGAACTGAATGGGTAATATAAGTGTTGCAAAATTTTAAGGTTTTTTTAAAAAAGCTTACATGGAAAAAAGTAGGTGTGGCTCTAATTAATAAAAAGTTCAAAGAATTAAAGATTAAAAGCAACCCAGATATTTAAAAAAAATATTTGACATGACACATTTCATATAAAAACACCTACCGGTAAATCAAGACACAATGATAAACAAAAGGTAATTTTTTATCTAGCATTTACTAAATCAAACAAAATTATAGATATTATCTGCATTGTAATCATTTTTGAAGGGAGTGTCTCTGTTTTTGTTTTATAGAATCAGGTTCCAATCATATACATTAGAGATCCATCACAATTACCTTAAATAGTGTAGCTGTCTCTGGGATTATTCCTCTAATTTTCACCTGGGGTTCTAAAGGCAATGGGATAAGTTCCACATCTGACAAGTTCATCTTTTCATTGTCTCCAAGCAATGCCTGTAGTCTCTCGTTCTAAGAGAACAAATCAGAAAGAACTGATTGCGTTAAAATGGAAAAGTAGTTTATAAAACATATGGTAAAGACATAAAGAGTAATCTTACTAACTTTGAAATGTCTCCAAAGCACCATAAAAGTAACACAAACTAGACGGTGCACCCATAAGAGACAAGCACTCCACACTTGGAACCTGCCTGACGAGCAGTGGCACACTTTAAGAGGAGCGATCCCTTGACTGTGAAGAGCTGGACTTACACAAGGTTAGGAAATACATTTCTCTTGCTGCAGCTGAGAGTAAGGAATACACTCATGCTGGATTTAAAGATTCCATTTCTGTTTTCGAAGGATGTGTGAAGCCACAAAGAGAAACTCATTTCATTTGAAGCTTAATTTTGTATGACCAAATATTAAGCAAGAATTTCAGTACTCTGCTCCAGGGCATGTTTTGGGTTTAAAAAGTAAACAATTCACTTGGAGGAACTTGAACCCCACCTTTTACTGTCCACTGGCTTGGTCTGATCAAACTTTTCCTGAGATATTATCATTTATTTTCTTCAGCTCACGTGCGTACTGCCATTGAGCCAAGAATTCAGAAACTGAAAAATTCAAGTCACTGCGAAACCCCTTTGTCATGTAGCAGCATCTGTACTGTTTAGATCAAGTCCTTCCATTCAATGTCAAAAGAGCAATCCTCTTGAAAGCTTCGAGAGAGTCTTGCATTCTTTTAACAGGTGTGCTTGTTCTTTAAAGGGGAAAACCTGCCCTGCCACTCCCAGCAGCATGAAGCACCTGCACTGTAACGCTACTGAGAGGATGCAGTGTCGCAGGAGAGAACCCTGAAATCAGTAAGGTGGAAGTTCAGAAAAATAATGTTTCCAGGACCACTAAGACAGAAAGTCATATTCTTCCCCTCCAGTAATATTCCAGTTCTCCCTCTGAATTGTAGAAAGTGCAAGTTAAGGTCAACTGAAAACTGGTACGAACTTCTACATAACCCTTATAAAAATTACTAAATCTACTCCCTAACCAAATGTATGATCAGATATATAAGTATGAGGTAATGTCTATTAACCTGAATTTCAAGTTATCCATTCATGACCAATTTCTAATTGATGTGCTAATAAACAATAAAATAACCAGAAAACAGATCAAAGGAGGGTGAGAAATCCAGCCACTTCTCACCACGTCCAGTGCTATAAGCCCTGGGCTCCTGCCATCACTTCTCAGCTTGATTAAACTGCAGTAGCCTCCTGACGACTCTTCTTCACCTTTGCCTCTTACAGTCTCTTATCAAAAACAACTACAGTACTGCTGCTAAAACCAAAGTCAGGCCATGTCACTCTCCTGTTCAAAACCCCCAACAGCTTCTATGCTAATTCCGTGTTTAAGTCAAAGTCCTTGTAATGGCTTACAAGGATATACTCTGTTTCTTTCTTATCTCTGTCCTCTTTCCTCCTCTCCTACTACTCCCCCCCCACTCTCCCTCTGCTCCAAATACACTGGGCTTCCTCCTATTTCACAAATATGTCACGCACACACACATACATGCTCTCACATCAGGCTTCTGTCCTTGCTGTTCCTCTGGCTGGAATAGTCGATTCTCTAAATACGCCCATGGCTTACTCCCTCACCTGCTTCAGGTCTTTGTCCAAATGTCAACTTCCTAGTGAGGCCTTCCTGACCATGCTATCAAGAGGTGAAACACTGCCTTACTACTCAAACCCAGCACTACCTGTTTCCTTTTCCTGCTTTATTTTTCTCCATAGCATACAACAGTATCTACTCTATATTTCACTCACTTATTCTATTTACTTCCTCCTCCAAAGCTCCATAAGAATACAATTTTTATATTCACTGCTATATCCCAGACCTAAAAAAAGTATTTGGAATGCAGTAGGCATGCAATACATTTTTATAGAACAAATAAATGAATATTGATCACCTAAAGGATCAAAAAGTGAAAAGACAACATTTAACAACATTCCCAAAATGAAAGCTTTAATTAAAGTTTTTTAAAACATTTTATTTATTTATTTATTTGAGAGAGAGCACGCACAGGGGGGCGGGGACAGAGGGAAAGGGACAAGCTGACTCAATTCCAAGACCCTAAGATCAATCATAACCTGAGCCAAAGGCAGACGCTTAACTCACTGAGCCACCCAGGCAGCCTAATAAAATTTTTAAAAAGTATTGATGGAAATGCCTTTTTATTGAATTCAAATATCCAGACTCAGAGACCTCTTTCAACAGAATTCTTCCTAAACTAGAGGTCAACACAGGAAAACACTATTGCAAAAACTTTATCATTTGTTTTACCCATTTTACTAATAACTCACAGATAACGTTCCTACATACCTAACACTGCTACATTCACCACGACATATTTCTCCCAAACTCATTATGGAAATGGGGGGATGGAAAAGTGCTACATATGATTTTAAATTATTAGCAGTAGTGAATTCATTGTTACTAATAATAACACAAATAATGGTAGTAGACAGCCATCTTGGCATTTCTCCATGGTGCCAGGGCTTGTTTCTAGTAAATCTACATTAACAAAATTGCTTGTCTTTTAACACACCATAAAAAAATGTCTAAAAAGACTTTTAGCCAATATTGAGACTATATTTAGGATTGTCTGATTTAAAATATAGGCTATGTGGCAAAAACAAAATTTATTTTGGGAAGCTTTAAGTGATACCTCAAATGGGTATGTAGTTGTCCTCCAAAATAGCTAAAACTGATGTGTAGCCAGACTCATGTGTGTGACAAATAGAAGAGCATGTTACACAAACACAAACTGGTTTAAACATATGCCCACACTGACAGTTGCAGGGACCGCATTCCTGCAGGTGGGTATGTGGGATTATACTGCTTCCTCACACAGGCACCTCTGTGGAGAGGGGCTCCACAAAGGAATAGCAGTACGGATTTAGTTATTTAAACCATGGTTTGTGATTTTTTCACAGCAATGACAAAAAAAAAGTCATCTCAATAAAAATGTGTTTCTCTTCAGCCCATTTTCTCCTTCTTAACCTTGTGAACATTATTCCTTGCACATATATCTACTAGCATTTCTCCTTAGACCTGATCCCCTACCTCTGAACTCCCAACTCCATTTTTCACCTTTTTTCCTCTCCACCTTCCTCTCACAAGTCTGGAGAAAAACAGTAAAATGTGTTGTGTTCTTTTACAAAGGTCACCAAGAAAGATCTGCCTATGGTGGGATTAGGTAAAGAGAAGATATCAAGTGAATCCTTCATACCATTTGGGCTAATGATGAGGGAAAAATGACATATGAAGGGCGCCTGGGTGGCTCAGTTGGTTAAGCGACTGCCTTCGGCTCAGGTCATGATCCTGGAGTCCCGGGATCGAGTCCCGCATCGGGCTCCCTGCTCGGCGGGGAGTCTGCTTCTCCCTCTGACCCTCCCCCCTCTCATGTGCTCTCTCTCATTCCCTCTCTCTCAAATAAATAAATAAAATCTTTAAAAAAAAAAATGACATATGAAGAACAGATACTCATCTACTGTCATCCCGTAGAAGCCTTACTTGAGAGAAAGATCCATGTACTAGCCATTAGAACAGATGCAAAGCCAGCGCTATTACTAACAACTAATTCTGCCACCCTGGGCAAGTCACATTGGACTTTCATTTTCTCAGAGTAATTCCAGTCTCCACAATCTGTAGAGGTCCTTTACACATCAAACACATTATATGCAAGGATGCTAAAATTCTAAAATGAGACCCAATAAAGCATTTTAGATTAAAAATATGGACTGAGGGGGCGCCTGGGTGGCTCAGTCGTTAAGCGTCTGCCGTAGGTTCAGGTCATGATCCCAGGGTCCTGGGATCGAGCCCCGCATCGGGCTCCCTGCTCCGCGGGGAGCCTGCTTCTCCCTCTCCCACTCCCCCTGCTTGTGTTCCCCCTCTTGCTGTGTCTCTCTTTGTCAAATAAATAAATAAAATCTTTAAAAAAAATAAAAATATGGACTGAGAATGCCTGGGAATAAACCCCAACTGTAATACTTACTAGCTAAGGATGCTGGACAAATTACTTAACCCCTCAAACCCTCATACACTGTTGGTGGGAATGCAAGCTGGTGCAGCCACTCTGGAAAACAGTATGGAGATTCCTCAAAAAGTTGAAAATAGAGCTACCCTACAACCCAGCAATTGCACTATTAGGTATTTATCCAAAGGATACAAATATAGTGATTCAAAGAGGCATATGCATCCCAATGTTTATAGCAGCAATGTCCGCAATAGCCAAACTATGGAAAGAGCCCAGATGTCCATCAACAGATAAATGGATAAAGAAGATGTGGTATATATATATATACACATGGAATATTACTCAGCCATTGAAAAGAATGAAATGTTGCCATTTGCAACAACATGGATGGAACTAGAGGGTATTAGGCTAAGCAAAATAAGTCAGAGAAAGACAAATACCATATGATTTCACTCATATGTGAAATTTTAAGAAACAAAACAGATAAACACAGGGAAGGGAAGGAAAAATGAGATGGAAATAGAGAGGGAGGCAAACCATAAGAGAAGCTGAACTCCAGGAAACTGAGGGTTGCTGAAGGGGAGGGGGGTCAGGGGATGGGGTAACTGGGTGATGGGCATTAAGGAGGGCACTTGATGTAATGAGCACTGGGTGTTATATGCAACTGATGAATCACTAAATTCTACCCCTGAAACTAATAATACAGTATATGTTAACTAAATTGAATTTAAATAAAGAATTTTTAAAAAATTATTTAACCTCTCTACCCCCACTTTTTCTTATAATTGAGATAATAATAGCATCTAACATAGAGTTGTTGTGAGAATTAAATCAATATATATATGTATATGTATAAATTCATAAGACAGGATCCTGTACATAATCAGTGCTTATAAATCTTCCTATTGCTATAATTACATAAGAATTTCATAAAATATATCAACCCAGAGAGACAGTACCAAAACTCAGTATTTTATGATACTGCAACATCATTAGTCAAAAACAAAAAGCAAAGCCCACAGGTTTACCTTTTTCTTACGATTTCCGCTTTCACGCTGCACTGCCTTCATTAGATGCACCAGCCGATCTACAAACGTCTGCTGTGCAGCCAGCAAAGAACGCATAACTCTGACAGACTTATCACCCTGAAGGGATTCAAAGGAAAGGAAAATTAGTTCTGTGTAGCATAATGATCAGGGTTTCTTTAATAGCATGGGTGATCTTTATTTATTCTTCTAATAGCTACAAACTTCAATACAAAGTGAAATTGAAAAAGATTAATTATCTTGATTCAGAGATAATGAGAAAGCTTCTAGCTTATTTAAACACTGCCAACTCTTCCACAGTTGAAAATTATCTGAGTCTTCAGCGAACACTAATCTATCAAAAACAGCACTTTTTTTTTCACATACAACCATGTGATCAGAGAGAATCCGTTCACCAAAATGCATTCACTCTTGACTCAATAAATAACTGGAAGCCTATGATGTCTTCAGAAATGCAGAGGCATATGGCAGAAACAATATCATCTTCAAGGAACTAAAAATCTACTGAAAAAAAAAGAAAAGCACTCAAATAGCAACATAATGCATGCTTGCTTAGTAAAATATAAGTCATAAAAATTAAATGCCATAAAGTCTTATGTAGTGAATTCCCAGTTCATAAAATATTATAAAATACATTTTCTCGGGGCACCTGGGTGGCTCAGTTGGTTAAGCGACTGCCTTTGGCTCGGGTCATGGTCCCAGGGTCCTGGGATCGAGCCCCGCATTGGGCTCCCTGCTTGGTGGGAAGCCTGCTTCTCCCTCTCCCACTCCCCCTGCTTGTGTTACCTCTCTCACTATCTCTCTCTGTCAATTAAATAAATAAAATCTTTAAAAAAAAAAAAAATACATTTTCTCATTTAATCTTCCCAGTTACACTGATAAGGGTGGCTAGGCAACTGTTATAATTCTCATTTTAAAGGTGAGGAAATTTAAGCTCAGAGAAAGTGAAATTTCTTCACAGGATGACAAAAGCTGTAAGTGACAGAACTGAGGTTAGAAGAGAAGACCAACTACTTTATCTGCCAATAGGTGAATGAAGAGAATGAGCTCTGAGAACTATAGAAAAGTTTAGTCTCCAAGATCTCAGTAAGACGGGACTTAAATTTGTAAGAACATGAAACATGTTCATCTGCAGCTGCAGAAAAAAGATGCTATGAAGTCAACTATTTCTGTAGCAAATCACAGATCAGTGCTGTGAGGGTTCTCACTGCCCGTGCACCCTCTGCTGGCTGAACCGTGCCACAGCACTTTAAGAATTACAACACCTAAGAGGAGAAAATGGTTTTACATAGATTCTAAAAACTGTTTAAGAAGCAAAAATACAAGTTATGTAGTAAGTACCTGCAATATGAGCATTGTCAGATTTCTGAAAATGTACCTAGTCTTGATAAACAAAATAGAAGAGAGGGAAATAAAAAAAGCAAAGCTTTGGAATTTGTTCCATATATAGGTTTATTTCATTAAATCAGAGGTCAACAAACTTCCTATAAAGGGCCAAAGAATAAATACTTTAGGTCTTGTTGGCCATACGGTTTCCATTTCAACTATTCAACTACTACTGCAGTGCATACGTGACCATAAACATATAAAAACAAATGAACATGACCATGTTCCAATAAAATTTTACGTAGGAACATTGAAATTTGACTTTCACATAATTTTCCTATGTCACAAGATATTCTTCTTCTTTTTATTTTTTTTTTAACCATTTAAAAACATAAAAACCACTCTTAGCTCATGGGACATACCAAAACAGGCAACAGGCCAGATCTGGCCCATGCCCGGTGTTTTTGCCAACCCCCACATGAAATGGTTACCTTCAACAATGCTTGGCTGAATCGTCTCATTACATTCAAGTACATCTCATGGGTCTTTGGGTCTCTTTGCTGAGTGTCTTGATCTTCACATTCCACTATCACATACCTTAAAAATATGTTAAGTCACTCATAAGAGGTGAAATGAGAGTCAGATTCATTTTGTAAATATTTCTACTTCTCCACTCAACCAGGTTAGTTCACATCTGCAAAACTAAATTAATGGAAGCAATGAAACACATTTTTCAATGTGTTTAAAAGTGGAAAATTAGGGCACATACACAATCATTTATAAAAAGGTAAATTAATAATAATAATGCCTTAATTTGTATAATATCCTAGATACACTAAAAAGTTTGGCATCAAAAGAAGCATTTTCTCCTAATACTTTATGAGGTACATATAGCATTACCATCTTCAGAAATCATCTAAGCTCACATATCTACCAAGTAACTCACAAACAATATTTTCAAAATCTATGTAATCCTCTTCTAAGACTCTCTTACTCTGAAAACTTCTCTGAAGCTACTTCTCATTAATATACCTCTGCAAAATGAATACAATTTTAAATTTATTTTTCCCATCCAATCTCCCCATTTCTCAAAAATCCATATATAATCTTCCATTTATGTATCATAAAATTGTGGTTTTAAAGGGTTAAAGAGATTTTAAATATATTCTTAAACCTGAACTGCTTATACAATTACCAAATCTTATAGCCAATGATTTGAATTAGATTCTAGAGGCCAATGTTCTCTAACTGTTCTGATAGGAACAAGCCATACTAACAAACACATTTTATATCACAACTCAGGACATATAGCCACATGTGTGCACACAGATGCCCCAAAGTAAAAAAGCTTCACAAAACAATAGTCTATTATATGTTAATATTTGCTACTCTGTTCTTTCTTCACACAACAAATACTAGATTGTGAACCTGTAAATGGATTTCAGTGGATCATGACATGTAGTTTGAAAAACACAGATCTATCTAGACCAACTTGCTTGTTTCATCAATAGTGAAACTTAAGAGGGGTTGTGTCTTGCCCACAGTACAATCATTAGTTGATTGTAGACCTGAAATCAGAGCCCAGGACGTTGGGCTCCTGGGTCAGGACCCTTTCTGCCTGCTAAGCCTACCCTCACACTACTTTATCTTTAAAAATCACAGGAAACTTTTCAACTCCCTAATCTGATAGTGTTTTTCAAATCTCAAGTCACAGCCACTTATTTTCTTTTATATTATTTCCAGGAAAAAGTACAGTCTGCCAGGAGAAGGTGAAGGTCATGAGAGCAGAAAGCTTACCTGTCTTGTTTACACTATACCCTCAGCACTTCCAGGCCTGGCTCATAATACTCAGCAGGTTATTGCTGAATGAATGAATGACTCAAATCTCATAGATCTAGCCATTATCTCAATGCTAATTCTCAAATATGAATACATATATCCTTTTTATCACACCAAAAGTCTGATTTTGCACTTCTTTGCATGTCCTTTTACATTCATCCACCCTAATTTTCAAGCAGCACGCCCCCTTTCCAAGACACTGTCATTTTTAAGGGAACATGTGTAAAACTGAACTTATCACATTAAATGAGTTATCTTCTATCTCTATTGAATCTACCAATATTCCAGTCATTTGGGCTGGGAATTCTCTTGTAGCGGGGTTTGTAAACTAAAGTTTTCTCAAAAGTCAGTCAGGAAACAAATGTTTGAATCACCTGAATACAAAAAAAGAGAAGTGAGGCAGTAGCCAGATCAGAGAACATAAGCTCTACCTAAAATCATCACTGGCACTTTGTGTTTACTTTGCGGTCCATGTGAGTTCCCATTCCCCTTCTTCAAACACTGGTACTCAATCCGTCACCAGACTCTGTTGATTTTTTTGTCCTACAAAATGCCTCTTATCATGGTTCTGTACTACTAGCTAGCCAGCAGATATCTCTCCCCTGGCCTCTCCAACTCTAAAAAGAAACCCATTATTGCTCAATATAATCATCCTAATTTTTTTTTTCCTTTAAACTAGCTTCATAATGTCCCACCTCTATTAACAAAAACACCAATGGTTCTCTCTTATCTACCAGTTTAACACAGATTTTGTGGCCACAGCATCAGGTTCAAACTTCCACTATCCTCAATTTACACACGCACACTGCAGTCAGGTCAGACCCCTAACCACTCCTAGTATGTGCATCCACTTGGTACTTCTGCTCAGGTTGCAGTAATGTCCAGAAATACCTTCCCATCTCCATCTTTCCATATTCTACTCACCCTTCAAGTACAGGACACATTTTCTCTCTTCCAGGAAGTCTTCAAAGACCCTGACAAGTCCCTCCTCCTCTGACTTCCTAGAATAGGCCTAGCCTCTCAGACAACTTGTGCTCATATCACCAAACTGTTTCATGTGTTTAACTCTTAGTTCCCTTCATAGGTTACAGAGAAACCGATGCCACAGGCCACAACTTAAAACTTTTCAGTAGCCCCTGACATACCCATAATAGTCTTATACACAGAAATATTTTAAGGGCTCATAAAAGTAAAAGCCTTCCTCTCCTGACTTCCAGTACAATGGTTTACTATGATACTAGCAGCTGTTTAAAGTCCTAGGATTGTATAGCCTAGAATTCTCTGTAAAGTGGAATGAAGAACTGAACCATGACACTATTTCCACCGTATCATGTTCCCAACAGGAGTTCTAAGCCAAAATTTCAAGAAGGCCCTCCTGAATCTTGAATCAAGAAAGCCTTCTAGAGTGGCGCCTGGGTGGCTCAACTGGTTAAGCATCCAGCTCTTGATTTCGGCTCAGGTCATGATCTCAGAGTTGTGAGATCAAGTCCTGCACATCGGGCTCTGCACTGGGCATGGAACCTGCTTAAGATTCTCTCTCTTCCTCTCCCTCTCTAAAAAAAAAAAAAAAAAAAAAGAAGAAAGAAAGCAAGCAAGCCAGCCTTCTAGAGCTACAGGATACATATGACTATTTAAAATAGGATTAATTAAAATTAAATAAAAATTAAAAATTCAGTTTTTCACTCACACATTCTACATTTCAGGTGCTCAGTAGCCATATGTGCAACATTATGGATAATTTCCATCACTGCAGAAAGTTTCACTGGACAACTCTATTCTAGATAAATAAGCTAAGAACAGTTAAGAGAAACTCTTATTTCCTATTTGCAGTATTCCAGAATGTTTGGTCATTTCAGGATACCACCCAGGAATGTTAAATAGACAGTGATTCTAAACTATAAAACTGTCAATATACAGTCCTTTTCAAATCCTATTCAGACCTTTCCATCCTTTAAAGTTCTTGACTATCTCCATTACCTTAGTATATTGTCTTTTTCTGTGTGTTTACATAGAAATTCATTTCTAAATGAGTAATACAGATGACCAGAACATGTAGGATCCCCTGCTTTTGTTCAGATCTCCCTGACCACCAAGTAAACACAATGGTCACAGCTATTTCCTATGACTGAGGGTCTACACTGATGATCATGATAAAGGTAAAAAAATCTTCCAAACCGAAGTTCTGCTACAAAAAGAAAAGTCCATCTAAAATACAAATGACAACGTCATCTCCAAATATGAAGGCCAAATTTAGATCAAGACTAAATGACCTAGATTTGAATCATTTCTGAATTCTCAGTTCACAGCAGTAAGTAGATTCTACAAAGCACTCTAAGGTATTCCCTTGAAACCTATCATCTTCAAGTAGAAATGCAGACAAAACTGTCCAGGTACCCATTGTAAGATGACATCAGTGGGCTACCTGCTTCCCAGCAATTTTGTTTTGTGGGGTAAATAACCTTTATTACCTTGAAAGGTCTTAAAAGTTATAGAAAAACATGTCAAAGCATCCAAAGTTTACTTTCAATTTCAACATACTGGAATAGCTATAAAATAAAAAACTGGAACGATTTATAGGTCCTGATACCCAACACTTTACAGACTGGAGACTATAACTCCCCTCTGTGGCTTAAAATGTTGACACTATTCATTTTAAAAGGATTGTCTGCACAACTATAGGCCCCTAAGGATTCAGCCATAGCAGGAATCCCATTTAAATCACTGGAAAGGGAACAAATAAAAAAGGAAATTCAAAAGGTTCAGAAGGAAATAGCACAATCAATTAAAATTTTTATTTTAATACATTTGTTAAAATAAGAGTACGCTTAGAGCGAGAGGCCTTTAAATTGTTACATTTGATTAATATTTTTATACTACTCTGTCCATGTTCAAAGGAAATGAATGATCATTTTAAACCAACTACTGAAATTATTTTCCATATTTTCACCCGACAATCACAAAAGCAGTGTCTACTAACTTCAGAAGCCCACATCAATAGCTTTTTTCTCCCCATGAATATTTCTGAAAATGTAATATGCAGACTGTAAATACAGGAAAAACAATTACTCCTCAGAGAAGGAGCAGACATAGCACATGCTATTGCTTCAATGAATCAGAGATATAGCGGGAAAACACAAATCAAATCTAAGTTTGACGGAATGCTTTTAAGACTGGGAGTTGGAGCTGCACTTTGTTTATTGTCTGTGGAGAAAACAAAGCACTCTTTCTGAATGGAAAACTGTTGCCTTGCTGGAAATTGCTCATCTAATAGGTTTCCTACTGTTTAGCTGCTTTTACAATGGTGTGAAAACTCTTCCTACTTGAAATAAGAAATCAAGGGTTCTATCACAACTAATTTCAGATTTTACAATGAAATCTGGTCTATAGTCAAATCTGAAGAATACATAATTTCAAAACACCACATAATCAGTATATGCACACATAGCTCTTACAACAGTGACTACTCTAGGCTATAAATTCTGAGCCAGAGAAAACTTTTCATGAATACTGCAAGAAAATAAAAATACCTATAAAGGAATTCTCAGTAAATGATTTAAAATATATATAAAATCTTAATTTTAAAATACCTAAGAAGCTTACATGCTGAGTGCTATATTTTTTTTTATTTCCTTTTAAATATTTACTTAGACGTTCATGAGGAAATTTTCCATAACACCAGTGAATAGATATACACTTAAGAATTCAGACTGGAATATGGAGAACATTAAGAAGCAAGAGATTACATTAAAAGGAAATAGTAGCTATTTGGTATTATGAGAATTGCCAAGTAAACTTTTCAAAGGAAAAGAGCGATTAACAACTAGCCAAAACATTCTGTGGCTATTTTTCAAGGACATACTAACATTTACTGTGAGAGAAATGTAGTTTTATGAATATTATATTAAACTGCTAAAATAAAAATAAAGAGGTTTTTCTTTCTATTACTAGGACCAACAGGAAAAAAAAAATTACAGGTTCCAAAGCGGTGGGGGGAAAAACGACAGATTTAGTTAAGATTGTTGATAGCAGTGAAGAAATTCACTGTAAAGGGAACCATAAAGGTTGAAACTAAACAATTATTTACCGCATATGTACATTAACAGACAGCTGTGTTTGTTAAAGAACTTCTCTGGTTTAGTTGCATATTTCTTGGCTACAAGGGCAGTGTCCAGAAAACTGTTACATTTGGAGAGTGGGAGAATGAAATTAACAATTGATTTGACCTACAGGACAGTTTTCCAAACTCAGTCTAAAACAAGACAGTACTTTGTTTAATTTCTTCATGGAAAGCAAAATGCCTCATTGTACTTCAAAAATAATGAGCTTTCAGAATGGATATCAATTCATTTCTATTGTTTAAGTAAACCCAATAAATGAGGCAGTATTTTAGATCAGAAACAATTTCCACGGTTAAATACTATCAAGTATGTCAATAAGTTTAAAAATGTTTCTGAACATACAGAGGCTTCAGGTAGGGTTTGCCCAGCTGGCTCGGCCCTTTGTTTGCTCTACAAAACTGGAGAAGGCTCTCTTGTCTAGTGTTTAATCCTAGTGCTTTCTTTTATTGAACCAAAATATTGCTCACTGTGGCTTAAGCTACTTGTCCTTTACACCTAAATATTCTGTGACGGATACAGGGAGCCAGGCTTCATACTCCTTGTGTCTCAGGAAGTCAGTCAGCCTTTCTATGGCCTTAGCTGCTCTTCCCTTCACCTCACTCAGGAAACCTGTCTCATGTAAAACAGAGATACTTCTACTTGCCCCATTTAACTTCATGGGGACAAGGGAGAAAAGGTCACTGAAAGTATTCTGTAAATAGCAAAGTGCTAAATAAACGATCTAATTCTAACTGAGGTGCCACCAAGTTTGCCTCTGCCTCAGTTTCCTCATCCATGAGAGAAGTACCTTCAAATTCCAGCTTCCTGTTTTTGCATGATTCCAATGCTGTGGTAAATAATGTGAAAATACACACTCTCGAAGGATTGTGAGGAATCATACTAACACTACTTAAATAGCATAAGAGGCAAATAGATATCAAACTGCAAAACCTATTACCTTACCCAGTTTTATCTTAGATCCTGGAACGTCAGTGAAGGGAAGAGAAACAGTAGTGCTAACAAGCATTTCCATGAACACAGTTGTAAAGAAATACAGCCAGGTAGATGCAAATACTACATTTAGGCTTTTGATGACTTCTCATCCCTTATTTTAAATTGCCTTTACGTTTATAGTATGGGAAAAAATAGTCCTAACCAGTAATCAGAAAATAAAAAGAAAGCTATTTCACATACCAGTATAAATAATTAGCCAGTGTTGAGTTTTTGCAGGCTCTTGATATCAAGAAGGTGCAGAGATCTTGCTGAAAGAATTAAAAGAAATGTATATTTATTACCATCTGCTTTAACAAGGGGGAAAAGAAGAGAGTCTACATTTGTCTATCAGCTTTCATCTATATATCTCTTGTCACAGATCATATTTTTACACATCCATGTATCCCTCCATCCTCCCGTCCAATACTTATTCTAAATTAGGCAATATATGAGAAGCTAACGACACCATGGTTCACAGAGTTACTTGTCCTACTGAAGTTTAACATTTAGTGGAGAAGAGAGACATCAAAGAAATTCATAGAAATAATTTAGATCAGGAAGTCACAAAAGGCAGCAATGGGGATATGATATCAGGCAAGACCAAAATGACACTATGGACAGAGGCCCTAAACTTGACTGTTCAAGAAATTTTAAAAAGGCCGAGCATAGCTAAAATTCGGTGAACATGAAAGTAAAGGAGGCTAAAAAGGTAGGCAAAGCCCAATTGTGCAAGACCTTTAAGGTCACACTATTGCGTATGGATTTTGTTTGCAAAGCAATGGATACTGCATAAAAGATCTTAAGCAGGGGAGTGAGATGATCTGATTTCCATTTTATGAAAACGACTCCAGCTGCTCTGAGAAGTAGAGGCCTGAGATCAGTTAGAAGTGATCAGTTATACAGGAGTATAAGAGTGAACCGTAGGAGCAGAGACAGAGAGAAATAGACAGATTTTTAAAACATTTGGGAAGTATAATTAATAAGACTTGCTGATGGAAAGGAGGGAAGAAGGAAAGAAAGGAATTGCCAGTAACTCCCAAATTTATGGATTTAGCAAATGGGTTGATTTGCTACGTCACAGATGGAAATTCCAACTGAGGAACAGGCTGGAGTGTGGGGAGAGAATTGTATTTTGAAATATTAACTTTGAAATGCCTGTCAGATATACAATGGAGATCAATAGGGTTTTGGATATATGAATTTAGAACTCAGATGAGAGAACTGTACGAGACATATAAATTTGAGTTTATCAGTACAGCCTGGGGCAAGAGTATAAATTGAGAATAGAAGAGGACCTTGAGGAACATTAAGATGTCAGGCTGCAGAGAAAGTGCTGACAAAGGAAACTGAGAAGGCATAGCCAGAGAGCTGGAGAGGAAAACACAGGTCGTACGGTAACATCTAGACCATGAGAAGAGTCCTTCAAGAAGGGAGCCATTTACTTTGCTGAATACTGCAAACAGGAACTTAGAAGTATACATAATCATAAACATTAAAGTTATTTTCTACTTTAGCAAAGTAAGTTTTGAGTTAACAATGGGAAGCAAAGGCCAGAATGATGTGGATTAAAGACTGGGGAAAAAAAAAAAAGGAAGAAGAGTCAGTATGTACAAACAACTCCTTTTAGAAGCCTGATCTTATTTAAAGGGAAGTAAGAAGATAAGGTGCTGTTTCAAAGGATGTGGTGTCAAGGGAGAATTTTTGTTTTGTTCTGTTTCGTTTCTGAATTTTTCAGATGGGAGATACTGACATACTTGAGTATTTCTACCAGGAAAAGAAGAGAACATATCTTTGAAGGGAGTTATATTTCTTCTGTATAAGAAAACAGAAGGCCAGAATGAAAAAGGATTCACCTCTGTAAATCTGGTGATGGGAAATTGAGACCATTCTTACCTAGTGACTTCTATTTGTTTCCACTAAGTATGAAGCAGGGCATGAAGAATAGAAGAGAGAAAGTACGGAAGAGCCACTGCAGAGCAGGGAGAGCAGCCCACCCAGAGAAATATAAGATGGCAGACAGTGTTGTGTCCGCCTGGTGTCAGTGCTCATGAATTCACAGTGATGCCAACATGACAGGCTACGTGCTTTTCTTCAGCAATATTCAGGCACAGAGCAATTAGGTAATTAATTAGGCTTATCAAGGGTAGAGATTTTACCAGGGGAACTGAAAGTACTAATAAAAGAATGATTATAATGCTGAGCCATGGGATTAAAGCTATATTCAGAGGAAAGCAAATACTGAAGGGGGTTGATGAACAAAGAAAGGGGTAGAGATCAATGGATTAGAAGATTCTATGTGGTGGGGGTAGCTCAGAAAGTAAGCTAAAGTAATAAAAGGTTGTTATCACAAAGCAGATATACCAGTGCTTTCAGAAGTGGCAAGAATCTTATCTCTAATTTTAGAGCTAAAGATTTTAAATGTGCAACATTTAAAAACCCAGCAGGGAAATGCCTCAATCAGAAAGCCATAATAATGAATCCATGAATTTAACAGGTAGAATCTAAGCCTAAAGTTTATCTTTGACTTTATGAGAAGGATATTATGCTTTTATATAATTTTATATATATTATATATATTTAAATAGAAAACACAGATTGCATTTGATTCTTTTTTTTTTTTTCACTAAAGAACTATTTACAGAGCACAGGCAGGGAAGAATTAAATTTAAAAACATTTGTGAGGGGAGCCTGGGTGGTTCAGTCAGTTGAGCATCTGACTTTACCTCAGGTCATGATCTCAGGGTCCTGGGACTGAACCCCACATCGGGCTACCCACACAGCAGGGAATCTGTTTCTCCGTCTCCCTTTGCCTCTCCCCCTACTCATGCTCCCTCTTTCACTCTAATAAATAAATAAAATCTTTTAAAAAATAAAAATATATGTGAAACAAGAAACCTGTACTATAAATTTTTAAACTCAATTTGGGTGAGCAATTTATAAAATTTTAAAACAACTAGAAGAAAAAAATGTGCTTTAGGAAAAAAGAAAATGATCTCATATTGAAGGTCAGAGATATAAAAAGAAATGGTAAATACCTCTAAATAGTTACTGATTGTATACAATAATAATATTATCTAATTAGGGAGTTAAATTAAGTCACTGGGTAAAAGTGACATACAAGTAAAGAGGTATACTGTTTTGGAGAAGGATAATACTTCTTATGCCAAACTTAAAGGAGGGATGTTAAAATATCTAGCATAGCCAGTAAAAGAATTGATAGAGACAATATAACCTCCAAGCTGAGGAGGGAGACAAAGGATAGGGAGGGGACCTAGCCAAATACAGGCAAAGGAAAAATTGTATAAGAATAGAAAGTACCACCACTTATGACGATGAAATCAATCCAAGTATAGCTCTAATCACAATAAAAATGGGGGAAAAGTTCCAGTTAAAAGACAATAGTGTTAAGCTGTATTAAAAAACGTAATCTAGCTATATGATGTTTTCCAGAGATAAACCTAAATATAAGGCCCCAGAAATACTGAAATGAAAGGACTAAAAAGTATACCAGTGAATACTAACCAAGACAAAATTCTATTATTATCAGACAAAACAGACTTTAAAGCAAAAAATATGACTCGACATAATGAAGGTTACTAATAAACAGTGATAAAAGATTCAATTTACTTGAATGCACCTAATAAAATAGTTTCAAAATATTTAAAGCAAACATCAACAGAAAAAGGAGAAACCGACAATTCCACCATCATACAGGGAGAATTTTACCCTAATTCTTAAGAGATCAAGTGCAGAAAAACATCAGGAAAGGGTTCATTTACACAGTGAACAAGCTTGCCCTAGTGACATACATACAATGGTGTACCCAACAATTGGGGAATATATCTTTTTTTCAAATACCCAGGGAATTTATGGAAAATGACCATATTTGAGCAATGAGACTCGAGTGTCTATCTTCTTTCTAATGTTTGGCCATACATGCATAGTGGTTTCCTAAAACTCCAAGAACAGGGAAAGGAAAGGGGAAGAAAGTGAGACAATCCTCAGGTGTCAGAGAGGAGACAAGAATATTGGTATCTGCAGTGATAAGCGGGGGAATTTCAGCTTGGTCGAATGCCACCTGACATGTCCAAACACTGAATTGTTTACAGGTCTCTTAAAGGTGATGACTGCTGGTACAGTATTATTATTACTCTGCTGGGGGCAGTGAGGAAGGGGGAGGCGGAAAAAAATACTCAAAATGAGTCCCAGTGCTTTCTGAGATAGCTTGAATTACCTAAACTCTTTATAGAACTATTCAGCTGAGAAAAGACAAAATGGCTTAATCATTGAGTAATAATAACAGGTTCAACAGTCACAAGAGAAATATCAGAAATATATAAAAACTATTTTTATTCTTAGTCTAAAAGTTCTGAGTCATAGTGTGTAAAACTGTATTCTGAATATAACATTCAGAATCCAATCACTTCAAACAATCTTCAGTGTAAACTACCCTAGTTGAAGCCACCAACAAGTCTCACGTGGATTATTTCAACAGCTTCCAAGTAAAAGTCACTTGATAACATGGCCTCCAAGACCCTGCTTGACTCCTGCTCTTTCTCTGACTCATTCTTTAACCATGCTCCCTTCCGCTCACTCCCCAGAGCCAGGCATCCTCTGCTGTTCCTCACACTTAAGCTCTGGTCCTCAAGCCTCTATATTTGCTGTTCCCTCTGCCTGATACACTCCTCTCCCCAGACCACTCACATGGTTATTCCCTCGCCTATATCACCTTTACAAAAGATGTCACTTTTCCAGGGAGGCCTTCCCTGACCACTTTTCAAAATTGCAACTGTCTAACCCTATCCAACACCCCCTCTATCACCCTTCTCTGATTTATTTTTCTCCTTAGAAAGTAGATATCATTATCTCTTCTACTATATATAAATATTATTGACTACCATCGGCACAAACACTAGGATGTAAGCTCCGTGAAGACAAAGATTTTGACCATTTTGTTCTCTACCTCCAGCATCTTGAATATTTCTGGCACATAATAAGAGCTCAAAACATAAGTGTGAAAGAATGAATTACTGAATCAGTATATCTGTACCTTAGATTTGACAAGGCAAAACAATTACACTGGAGCTGAATGGTTTCTTAAAGGGCTCCCTTAAGGATTCTATGATCCTGTAATTTAAAATTCTTTTTTCAGTATTTTCTCTTATATCAAAAGGTAGGCAGATATCAAACTCTGGTAAACAGTTAATGATAAAAGCAAGAGTCATTCAGTCATCAATATTAACTTCTAAAATTTGACTAAAAGCAATATATGTGTGTGTGTGTGTATACACATTTTTAAAAATCAACTTTACTTTCTAGTATCAAAGTATGTATTATTTGTTTTCAACATCAGAGGTGTGAAAGGTTCTCAAATTAGAAGTCTTAGGGAGAAATTCAAGAACATACTACATCAGTTTCTGCATAGGTACTTCCAAATGTACCTCTCAGAGTAGCAGTAGCCTATTTGGCCTGTTTTAAATAAAAAATCAGTCTAATTATTTAGAAAGATTTCACTTAATTTTTCTGTATGAGTTAAAAACAGCTACTTAGTATATAATCCCTAGTATCAAAGTCATACATTTCTAGAATGTAATCACAAACACCAACAATTACAGTAATGTTCCTAAATATGTTAACAATAAATAGTCTGAGTTTCCTTAATAAAATATTTAAGCCCAGTTTATTTTCATATTGCGTATTAATCCATTTATATGCCCAAAGCACCAATAAAATGCCTTGAATTGAAGATTATCTGGCACTTTTTGCTGAGAAGAAAAGTCATAAACATGCATCATATAACAAGTTATTTAATAAAGTTGTAATATTTTGTTTATTAATCAAAATCAATGTTTTAAAGACCAACATAAAATGTTTATCTGGTAAGATAGCTCCTGTAGAGGGGCGCCTGGGTGGCTCAGTCGTTAAGCGTCTGCCTTCGGCTCAGGTCATGATCCCAGGGTCCTGGGATCGAGCCCCGCATCGGGCTCTCTGTTCAGCGGGAAGCCTGCTTCTCCCTCTCCCCCTCCCTCTGCTTGTGTTCCCTCTCTCGCTGTGTTTCTGTCAAATAAATAAAATCTTTAAAAAAAAAAAAAAAGATAGCTCCTGTAGAAACTTGAAAAGCTTTGTACTCACCTCTAGATTTTCACCATCTGAACTGTCCTTTGTTTTAGCTGCAGGAGGAGGGGAAGACACTGGAGGAAGAGGGCTGGTTATAATTTGGGAGCTGAAAAAATAAAGGAGATATCACTGATATGTAAAATATTCTGTCTGTAAGAGAAGATATACATTTTTTTAGCACAGTTCACCTCAGTTTTGTCTGGTTAAAGCATCACTTCTAAAGCGTATTCTGTGCAACACTAGAGTCACATTATGTCCTAGAAAAAGCCTACAATTGAAAAATATGGGTAACAGCCTCTTGGAAGATTTTTGTGCAAGCTGGTATATTACAGGTTTTTGACAAGTACTGCAGTGATTTTTTAAAGTCCATTTTAATTTAAGCCAGCATTTCTCAAACATATCTGGCCACAAGACCATCCCATCTCTTTTTTATCTTTTAAAAAACATATAAACTAGTGACCGACAGACCATAATTTGGGAAATACTGGGTTACATTTTACATCTTGTCATAAAATCTTAATAGACTTCTAGTAAAATATTCTAGGTGGCATAAGGGAGGAAGAAGGTAAATAAGCAAGCATGACTGGAGAGTGAAGGCCTCTAACGTATGGTGGGAGACAAAGTAGGGGGGGGTCTCTTCTCTTAAAAACAGAAAAATATAAAGCAGCCTACAGAAGAAAAAATGATTTTTCCCATTTTTCAGTTCTTCTTCAAATGAAACACAGAAGATAAAAAAACAACAGTATCACAATCATAATGAAAAATTCAGAAATACAATCTTGAGCTCATGCGGTAATTGTAATAATTGGACTAATTCAGTAAATCTGAATTCTAGACCTCATCTGTCATTAATAAATCTCATGACCTTCACAATATAAATTTATTACTGAGCCTCAGGTTTCTCACCTAAAGGTTCCATTTATCTCAAATTTTAAGACTTTATGAAAAGCAAAATGGCAAAGTATAAACAACATGGGCTTTGGAGTCAACTCTACCATTTGCAGGATAGAAGACTCTGGACAATTATCTTCTTGTTCAGTCCTTCATCTCTGAATTAGGGATATGAACACCTACTTCAGAGGATTATTAAAATGAGTTAATGTATGTGGACCACCTCACAGTGTCTGCTACAGAGGTATGAGTTCTTAATTGTTGTTATTATTGTTAACAGCTTTTAATTCAAGTACCATGCTATTTTTTTATTTTAACTACTAAAAAGGTGAAAAGCGGCCAATAAAACATACAATAAAGTATTTGAGCCCACTAACATGCCCCATCCTTCATTTTATTTTTGCTTGAACAGTAATAGTATCTAGCCCTTACTGAGCAGTATCCTAAAGGCTTTAGTATATTAACTCATTTAATTTTCCAAGAGCCCTCAAAGATCAGTTACTATTATTATATCCCCATTTTTAAGATGAGAAACTGGGGCCACACAGAGAATATGCACCTTCCACAAGTTTACACAGCTAGTAAGTGGCAGAGTGAAGATTTTCACTCAGGTATTCTGACTCCACAGCCTGCAAAACATTGCTCTGCAATACAGTAATTTGTGCTCTGTGAGTATACATACCACATTCATTGGTAAAACTTTAAACTTAGTACCAACTAGGGTTTGGTACATCTGGGGAAAAAGGAAAGAAGTCTGGAAAGGGGGGAGACTACTAGATTTGAAAATAAGTCCTCCCCCCAGTCTATGGCCATACCACCCTGAACGCGCCCGATCTTGTCTGAAAGTAAGTCCTCCCTGGATATCCATACCTATCTATTTCTGCAGAATTTATTCCAGAATTTGACACAGTCTCTGACACTGAACCCTGACTATCCTTCTTGGTAGGTTCTAATCCATTCTTTATGTCATCAAAATTTTCATATTTGAGAGCTTGGACCAGTTGTAATAGGTACATCAACAAATCCTGGAAAACAAACACACACACACACAAAAATAAGCTAATATTAGAAAAACAAATGCAATACGATTATAGACATCATTTATTCCTAAATATCAAGAGAACAGCTTTGTTTCGTCTACCACTTATCAGCTGTGTTACCTTTGGCAAGTTACTAGGCTATTTAAGCTCTTGGTGCCTCACTGGGTCCTCATCTGTAAAATGGACATAATCATATATACCTTAGAGATGAGTTGTGAGGATTAAATCAATTAATAGAAGAAAGTCATAGAACAGTGCCTGGCACAGAGTAAATGGCCAATAAATGCCTTGTTTATTTTTTTTAAAGATTTTATTTATTTGACAGAGAGAGAAAGAGAGCAAGAGAGCACAAGCAGGGGGAGCGGCAGAGGGAGAGGGAGAAGTAGGCTCCCTGCTCCAGAGCCTGACTCAGGGCTTGATCCCAGGACCCTGAGGTCATGACCTGAGCCGAAGGCAGACACTTAAGAGACTGAGCTACCCAGGCACCCCTAAATGACAAAAAGTAGAGCAAAAAACAAAAACAAGGATTAAGATGGTTCATGTAAAACTAAGAAATTAAAGAAGGATCCTTTTCTCAGCAATAGGCCAGATAATAGCATTTTATGTCTATGATTTCATAAGAAACTCCAAATTTTCAAGTTCTAAAAGAACTTCTGTTTCATAAGCTTTTCTGGTTAGGATTTTTTTGAATCTTGAGTTCTTTTTTTTTTTTCCTTGAGAGCTCAGGTTTTAGAGAATTTGCGCTGCTTCTTAAATGAAAAATCCTATAAAACAGACATTTTAATTTTAACACTCTTGGTTAAGGGAAAAGCTTACTTTCCTGCCAACTAGCAACAATGGCTTAAAGAAAACAAATACCTAAGCCTAAATTTCCCATACTGCTATTGACAATCAACGGGATAATTAGGACTCAAAGTGTCAACAAAGTAGTTTTTACTTTTCTGAGTTTTCCTTCAACGTAAAAAGACTCTTTAGGTTTAATATTTAGGATGGAAATGTTTCCTGTCATACTCTCTATAAATGTCGTACTTTCTTGGCCTTTCCCAATGAATATTAAGAAAACTCCAAAAATCTCATTTTTAAAAATAATTACAAACTGAAGAAATTCACAAAACTCAAACATTTCTTAAAAGTATCATTACCGTCGAGTTCCCGTTGCCACTCACCCAGTTGGCCCCTCAAAACTCATAATTAGGTAATTGTTGAGACTTGGTAACCACCACCTCAATCTCAAGTCTCCTCTTTAAGCCCACAAACCAAATAAAATCCCCTGTCAAAACTTCAGGGCTCACACTTTCCTTCCCTATTTGTAACAACTATAGAATTTGTATTTATTTGCTAAATTATTTACCCTTGGTCTTCTCCAGTTTATTACATACATCATGAGGACAAAGACCACTTCCAACAACCTATTTTCCTTCACTTAATACTATACTATATTTCTTTTTTTCATAATTTTTTCTTACATTAACAGTCAACATTTTTATCATTATCTAAATACTGACAAAGAATAATACACAAGATTTCACCATTAAATATGATTTTGTCACAAAAAAATTAAATGAAAGGTTAACAGGCTTATTCATTCATATTCAAATATATCAATGTCAGTGGCCAGAGAAAACAAATGACTCTATATCAAAGCACCTCTTAGTGTTCTCTTTTTAATTGGAGCGTTAATAACCATCTCTTCTTTTGAGACTTATGACATCTAATAGCAATAGGCATGCTTTTTCTAAGAAAAAAAGTGAATTAAATAACAGAAAGTTGATTAATACATTTAATGACAAGTATCCTTCTCAGGAGGTGTAAGTAACTAAGTTTCACTGCTAGCTTTCCTTACCAAGGCATGCTTCAAAAATGCTGCTGAATATACCACCTGTTATGATTTCCCCATTATAGAAGACTTACCACATGAAATTAAAAAGGCTGTATCGAATTCAGAAGAAAACCTTCCTCTTTTTATGTCACTCATTACTATCTGATTTGTTGGCATGATATTCTATAGTCAAACTGTACTTTCCTTCATTTGTACAAAGTCTGTTTGCTCATTATGTAGTCACATCTTGAAAAACTTAAAATTCTTCCGAGCATGAAGGACATAAGCATCCGAGTAAAACAAAAGAAAAAAAAATCAGGTTTCCGACTGAGGAATTCAGTAAAAATTTCCCAAGAGCTACGGAATATTATCTAGATAGTGATCACCATTCCTCTTGATGACAAGTTAGTTCGAATGCTTCAGAGTGCACAGGCAGAGTTCCATGTCAAAAATCACTCACTTCCCATTTTTTACTGAATTAAGAGTAATTCTTCACATAGGCATTTACAGTTAAAAAGACATGGTTTCTGGTTTCTGATCTTACTTCCTGAACAGCTAGCTACATATATCCTACGTTCCTGTTAAAGTGAAATACCTTCTATTTTTCTTCTACTTTTCATTCTCCTTGCCTTTGCTCATACAGGTCTCTCCACTTAAAATGTAAATTCATGTCTAACTGTGAAAATCCACTCTTCCTTCAAAATCTATCTCAAATACTGCTTCCTCCTCAAGTTCTATGGGGCATCTCTCCTTTTGAGCCACATAGCAATAAGAAATATGGCTTTTAAAAAAATTCCTAAATAGAATATTAGCAAATTAAATTCAGAAAAGTATTCAAAGATTGGGTAAAATTTATTTTACAAATGTGTGGCTGGTACATTAGGAAGTTCACCAGCACAGATTCCATATAGAGCATATATTGTATGCTGTTGTTCTCCAGACAGCACAATGCTATACCCACAAAATATAGCAAACCACCTAACATTTATTAAAACTAACAAGAGAAATCACTAAAGTGATTAGATAAAACATAAATATTAAAACATAATTTTCATTTAACTAACTAAAAGAAGTAAGAGATAAAGGGGTGAGGTAGTTCATAACAGTTAACAATAACTGTCAGGGAATAAATCTATTTTTAAAATGTATAAAATTTTTCTAACATCAAGACTTGTATGAATACAAAAATCATGTCTCCAGGAGGGAAGATTTAATATCATAAAGTTGTCAATTTTTTGTAACATAATATATAAATTTAATGTAATTCCACTTAAGATTCTTGTGGAGTTTTAAGAAAATGAAAAAAAATTATTCTAAAATTCTTGGAAAGAATAAAAGTATAAAAATTACAAAGAAAATTATAAAAAAGAAAAACAGGGAAAGGATCTGTCCAATCATGTTTAATGTTATAGTGAAGCAACTGCAATTTTTTTTGAAGTATGATACAAGTCCCAAAATAAAAGATTTGTAGAGGATTATCAGCAAAATGTAAAAGGAATGTATCTCTTGGCCTAATAATTCCAATATAAGCTACTTATTCAACAATACAGAGAAATATATACATAGGTCTGTTCACTAAAATATAGTATAGCAAAAGATTACAAATAAATCAAAAGAAGCTGGTTAAATAAATTATAAATTAAACTTGCAATAAGATACTATGCTGCTGTTTAAAAAGAATAAGGTAGAGCTACAGGTGTCCATAAAATCTAGAAACACAGTGTTTTTTTACAGACTAAACATGTCCTTGACATCATTTGCCTTGATATTTATTTGTCTATGTTTCCAGACTTCATGGAACCAAATATATGTGTGGATAATGAGAAAATGTCCAAGATTACACTGTTCAGTAAAGAAGGCAAGTTTTTAACAATATAAATGATTTTAGTATTAAGTTTACATAATATACGTGTGCAATCTTCCTGTATATGCTCATGAATACAGTTTTCAAAACTATGCCCCCACATAATCTTTTCTCATAGCTATCAAGTGACATCAGCAGCAATTATCACTATTTTTTTTTGAGAGGAAACAGAATACTATATGGTGTTCCCAAAGACATATACATAGGTACACTGAGTCAGAGAAAAGACAAAATTCATCTCAATATACATCCAAAGAATCAGTAGTAACAGAATTAAAAGATCTTTTTTTAGCCGACTATATACAATTTATTACTGAACTAAGTTCAGAGAAAGGAAAATCAAGAGATAACTTAACCATCATACTATTTATGCTATCTAGATCTCTTTAAAACCTCAAGGGGCACCTGGGTGGCGCAGTCAGTTAAGCATCTGACTCTTGATTTTGGCTCAGGTCATGATCTCAGGGTCGTGAGGCCGAGGCCCACAAAGAGGCCCTCAACCTGCTCCACTCAGCGAGGAGTCTGCTTCTCTCCTTCTGCTCCCTCTGCCCCTTCCACCACCCACGTGCTCTTGCGCTCTCTCTCTAATAAACAAATCTAAAAAAAATAAAATAAAACCTCAAGAAACTATCATATTTTGCAGTTTAAAGTGTACACAATGTTTCTATCATTATTCTCTACATCATAACAAAAATCATAAAATGGTCTAGAAACAGTTCAGTACCTGCATGAACACGGCTATCACCACAATCAAATACTTAGTTTATAAGCCTGTGAGGGAACTGAAGTAAGACAATAAAAAATGAGGACTTATAAATTTTTCTATTTAAATTCTGAACCCACATCAAGAGGCTGTCTTGACTACTGCCCAGAGGTCTTTAGCTAAACTCTATGACTCATGTCAAACATAGAGAATCAATGATTTAGGTTAAATTTCTAATGAATTTCAAAATAAATATTTCAGTATTTCCACATTTCAACTTTTACTTGTGATACAATAAAGACAACGAGGAAGAAAGATAATATGCTAAATCACAATGCTTAGGATTGCTTTTTATTTTTTTTATTTTTTTAAAGATTTTATTTATTTGAGAGAGAGTGAGACAGAGAGAGCACAAGTGGGGTGAGGGACAGAGAGAGAAGCACACTCCCCACTGAGTAGGGAGCCCAACATGGGGCTCGATCCCAGGACTCTGGGATCATGACCTGAGCCGAAGGCAGATGCTTACCCAACTGAGCTACCCAGGTGCCCCTTAGGATTGCTTTTTAACAGGAAAGTGAAAAACACCCTATTCCAATAAAATTATACAATATCTGAGATTTGCCTCCAAATAATCCAGTGGAGGGTAGGGAATGGAGAAGAGGAAATAAGTGGTGTTACAGATGAAACAAGACCAGCTGTGAGCTGGCAACTGCTGAATATGGGTAAATTATATGTGAGCATTCACCACACTATTTATTGTTTACATTTTACAATAATTAAATACAAATATACATCAACCTTATTGACCTTAGTAAATGCTGTGTTTTGCCACTATGAATTCAAAATGATTTTTTTTAAAAGATCTTCGATAGGGCGCCTGGGTGGCTCAGTCGTTAAGCGTCTGCCTTCGGCTCAGGTCATGCTCCCAGGGTCCTGGGATCGAGTCCCACATCGGGCTCCCTCCTCAAGGGGAAGCCTGCTTCTCCCTCTCCCACTCCCGCTGCTTGTGTTCCTGCTCTTGCTATCTCTGTCTCTGTCAAATAAATAAATAAAATATTTAAAAAAAAAAAGATTTCGATATTAGTTGTTCTATGGGATCAACATTCCTATATATATCGAGGCTTGAGAAGAATTATCCCATATCCCATAAGCCCTGCAGGCTAGCATAAACTATTAGGTTATGTTTGGAAAAGACATCCACCCTATAAAAATTAGTAAGTAAAAAAAAAATTGCTGGATTACTCTATCTTATTAGCAATTACTAAAATTCAAACTCCAGCAATGCCTTGTGTCGACACAGAGTGTTCCTCCTTCCCTGGTGGCTTTATATGTATATAAATAGCCAGCCTAAAGTTTGCAGTCTTTGCTTTCCAGAGGATTCAAAACCACCTTCAGAAAATCTACATATACATATAATTGTCAGCAGCTAAAAGCTTAAAGGAGAAGTTTGAAGGAGAATAAGATGACCATGCATCTCTATGCTTTAAAGGCCCCAAGGGCTTTTCAAGGCTGCAATTAAATGTGGCTTGTTGTATACTGACTGATAGAGGGGATCTGAATTACTCCCTAGCTGGTACTGCATTAAACCATTTTTCATTAGAATTCTTTTTTCCAGACAGAGAAATACAAGCTCTGCTGCCAGGTAAATGTCCTGGGAGAGACTGTCCTATCATGTAACAGATCAGGAAGTAAATTTTCATTTCACAGAAGAGTCCTTGGAGGAATATTTTAATTTTACTTCTGAAAACACACCTAGTATATCCTCTTCCCTTCTAAAAATCTCTCTCTCCCTTCCTCCCCACACCGCCCCTCTTTCTCTCTCTCTCTCTCTCTCTCTCTCTCTCTCTCTCACACACACACACACACACACACACGGGGGCAGGGGAGGGATATGCTATAGAGCCTATAATCGGCTCTAGTTTAAATGTACCCAGTCTGGGCCACCTGGGTGGCTCAGTCGGTTGAGTGTCTGACTCTTGATCTCGGCTCAGGTCTTGATCTCAGGGTCATGAGTTCAAAGCCCCGCACTGGACTCCACGCTGGGCATGGAGCCTACTTTAAAAAAAAAAAAAAAAGTACCCAGTCAAAGAGGAGTAATGAATAATAATGTACCTCATCATCTGCCTGTCGCAACCGGGCAACAGCATATCGCCTCACTGTTGGATTGGTATAATGGGAGGATAACAGCTCCAAGGAGTCCTCTACATCCATTGGCTTCCATTTTCCTAGAAGTTCCAATGCCTGTTTGGCCTCCTGAGGTAGATCCCAATTAACACATTTCAAGAATTTAGTCAAAGCCTAAAATCAGAAAAGATGTTAAAATTAGAAACAACAGCCTATTACCTGGGGTAACGAAGGGTCAAGGGTGACTAGGCAGAGTTTCACTTGGTGCTGATGGCAGAGTCACAGAGTCGATGACAGACTGACTCCTTGTGTAGTCACTAAACATAGTTATACATATGATCCTAGAAAAATACTACAGGACAGAGAAAAAAAAAGAAACATGTTCCCTGTAACTTTACATTTTTCAGGTTAAACCACTTACATAAATTCAAGCACTATGAATTTTTTAATTTTCTTTGGCTTTTCATTTTCCTTTTTTTATTTTAAAATAGTGCAGGCCTCAAGACATGGAAATAAAGAGATGAGGCATATTCTCATGAGATGCCTTAAAGACAATCTTCATTTTATACCATCAACATGTGACATAAAATACTGCAGCCAATGAATGAAGAGTCCAAAGTCAAGCAAGGGTAGAATCCCCACCACTAACCTCACTCTCAAACACCTCCCCCAGATCATTGGGTTTCCTAGATACTCACACATGAGGGCTTAAACTAAATTAAATATGTACAGCTCTTACACAGAGAAGTAGCTTTTTAAAAAGATAATCAAAAATTCCACAGAAAGAAGCATATAGATAAATACAGAAGCAGCAGCAAATATTCTATGATTCAGATGCCTGTTCGTAGTGCTCTTCTGGAACCTCACTTCTTTAGACAGGCAGCATACCTATCTAAAGTTTTCACAAGATCATCCAGGTAAGTAAATGACCTTGGAGCATAACACTTATGGTTGCGTACATAATAAATGCTCTTTTAAAACAGTTGTATACTTGTTTTCCATTAAAAAAAAAAAAAAAAACGATCTCTACTGTCACATCTTACTACAGGGAACACTTACCAGGCTGATCCCATTTTCTTCTTTCTGCATGATTTCATCTTTTGAACAAAGATAACTTTAAAATTTTAAACTCCTACTCTGCCCAACTAAAATCTTTTCATTAGTAAACTAACCAAGTTCTCAAGAAAATGTCCTTTTGGACAATAAAACACAATTACTGGTTAGTATGACGTAAAATGAACCTTGATGCCCATCCCCTAACTTATTCTTGATTTAATTAAATTAAGCAAAAAAGCACAATGGAGATTATCTAGTCCACTGCTCAAATTGTATATAATCTCAGCGAAGTTAAGTGGCTTACCCATCATCTCAAAATGGTGGACAATCTACACCAAAAATCAGGGTCCACTAACTCAGCCCATGCATCTTTCACCAGATGGTTCCCCCCAACATTAAGATACTGCTGTCTCCTAATTAGCTAAACCCATGCCCCTTAGAGACATTATTCCACCAACACTGATCTCCTAAATCCATTCCTATTGGATTCCTATCCATTATTTCCTAGCAATATTTCCTGCATTTTCCCCTCAAGTTGATTCTCACTACACCACACATGTGGAGTTTGGCGTAGCCTTCTAGCTAAGAGCCTTAATACCAGTTTCACTTCTAATCATTTCATACAGACTCTCAGAAGTTCAAGTTGGAAGTGATGTTAGAATGACTCTCCAACTGTCAGCAGAAATTCATCTTCTAACATCCCTGCCAAAAAGAGACCTGATATTTATTTAAGTAATTCCAGTGACTAATTTCCAAAGCACCCACTGTTTTTATAGACAGTGAAGCCATTTTTATTTTTTGACTGTAATGTACCAAAAGACAAATGTGTTTTCATGTAACTTCTTCCCACCGATCAGTTTTAATGGGGAGAATGAGAGTAAATTTAACCCCACCACATGGGCAGCTTTTCCAATAGTTGATGATGACTGCCATATGGTTATACTGTGGTTTCCCATTAGATAATAGGATCTAATTTATAAACAAACAAAACCAATATACAAACGTAACAACAAAACCTCGGCTTCTTTCCCAAAACACTTCAATGATACTTCTCACCACAATCCTCTAACTCTCATTAAGTGACCTCTTATTCTCCTTCTATGTTTCAACCAAGCTAACCTATTTTTTACATCACTTTGTCTAACTCCTATCTACAAAGCTCTTAACCCAAATAGTAGCGTCATATTCAAGGCCAGCTTGTCAAAGACTCAACTTTTCCAGTAAGTTTTCAGCAGCTCTGAGCTCTTCCTTTAGTAGTTGCCTCAGTTTTATTCTCTTCATTCAAATGATGCTCTTCTAACTGCCAAATGCTTTGGTGGGCATTCTTATCTCTACAATTGGAGTCTGCGTTCCGCAACATTAGCTATCCATTTCTTCTGTACCTCCCATGTGCCACTTAGCAGAGTGCTGCCTTCTCCATGTAAGAACACAGACTACCCTTCTAACTTATTCCATGCATTTATTTTTCACTTCTAAGATGTATTTCTATGTTGAATGTCGAAACAAAGCAACACTTCTTAAATAACTACAGTGAAAACTTTTCCAATTCACAGCACATCAGCAGTCTTAACAGAAATGTGTGGATATGTACTTAAAAGCAAATCTCGCAGCATCCTGATGTACTCAGTTCAATAACTGAAACAATCTAACCCCCAGATTCTCACATTTACCAGTAAGATTTATAGATCATGCTGCTGCCAAGGAACTTAAGGCACTGTAAAAAAAATTCACAACTTTATAATGCTGAATGTCACAAATGCAAACAAAGAGGTAGTAGAATAAAGAAAGAAACAAGGAGAAATGAGAAAGGCAGAAAGTGTAAGAATTTGAGGCAATAATAATGATGATACTTAATCTCTAGCCCTTTAAAGATGCTGTATTGATGTATGTAAAGGTACAAGATTCAAATGATGTAATTTTATCCTTAGAATTTCCACAGATAACTGGAGAGTGTTTGGGGTCAAATCCTAATTCCCAACTCCATCAATTATTAATTGAGTCATTAGGAGCACACTATTTAACTTTAAATGACTTACCTTACAAGGTTGTGGTAATGATTAAAGTTATTGAATGTAAATGTTTAGAACAGTACTTTATAACAAATATTTGATGTTAATTATTTTATCATCTGATATCACTGTTATTCTATTTCTGATGTTGAGTCAATGTCAAATGTTAACATTAACACATTTATTGCCATGTTTTATATTAATAGTAATATTTTATTAACCTCCCTTCTGATCTTAGAACCTCCCCACTATTATCTCCTACTCTTAGAATCATGTTCACAATCACTTCAGAGCTGAAAAAACTACGTTCACCATATATATTTCAATTTTTAACGTCTACCAAGTAAATTATTGGAAATTTCTAATTTGTTGCTAAAGAGAAACTCATTCCTCTACTCGGGACACTTCTGACAACAAATGTATGGTTTTCCACACCAAACAATTCCTTAATTCTCTGAGGACACGAACCAGGTGTCCCACAATCTAACTCAATTTGAAACTACCTTGAGTTACTAACAATTCCATAGGTTAAAGGGTCAGTCTCACAAAACTGCTTCCCATTTCAGATGCTGATTGCAAACTTGGGGTCCCCAGGTTGCCCACACTTCTGTCTGACATGGCTACAAATCAAAAGTTACCAACAACACATTCCTCAGTTTCAGTAATTTGCTATAACAGCTCACAAAACTCAGAGAAATATTTTACTCATTATTGCCAGTTTATTATGAAGGATACAAAATGAATAACCAGATGAAAAGGTACACTGGGCAAGGTGTGGAAGGGTCCCAAGCAAAGGAGCTTCTGTCCCTATAAAAGTCTGGGTGTGCCACTCTGAAGTCACATGGATGCATTCACCAACCCAGAAGCTCTACAAACCCCGCCATTATAGGTTTTTATGAAGTTTCCATTACGTATGATTTATTAAATTTCTGGCCAGTAATGATTAATGCAATTCCTAGTCCCTCTTCCAGAGGTTAGGGGGTGGGGCTGAAAATTCCAACTCTCTAATCATTTGGTTGGTTCCTCTAGCAACCAGTCCCCTCAAGCAAGAGTCATCTTACTAGGATAAATTCTGGTACGGTTGAAAGGGGCTTAGTATGAATAACAAAAGACACTCCTCTCATCCCTACCACTAAGGAAATTCTCAGGGCTTTAGAAACTCTGCCAGAGACAAAAACCAAATATATATTTCTTACTAGATCACAATATCACACTGGTGCTTCTAATACTTTAGACTCAAAATTGAAAATATCTCCTCACCGTGCTCCTTCCATTTGCCCTATTTCCTTATTTCAGGCACTCAAGCCTAACTCCTGGGAGGTGTCACCAAGTTATTTTATACATTCTCCTCTCCTTCCCTTGTCTTCCAATATCACTCTTAAAAATCATACCATGAGCCTCCTAATTAGGTCTCTTTTTTCATTCCCAGATCTGCTCCAATCCACCCTGGCTTGACTTCCTTAAAACATTACTTCTTTTTTTTTTTTTTTTAAGATTTTATTTATTTATTTATTT